GCAAAAGGCGCACCTGGTGGAACATCCCACGAATGTCACTACTAATGGCGATGGAATGTTCTCTGAATCGCAGAAGAACTGACAGAAGAGAAGGACTGAGTGGTGGACCAGGGAGCAAGTACTCGTTCAGGTTGTGGCCTTGGTAAGCAAACGAACAGTTGAAGACAACCCTTTTCTTTCCATTATGCTCCACCAAATGATGTGGAATGTACCAGCTCTCTTTGGAACAGTCCACCTGCTCAGGAGTGAGTTTTGTAATGTAGCCAGCTTGCTGTAACCTGACTATCTCCTCTTGGTAGGCCGCCGCTTGATCAGGATTCTTGTTCAGCCGATTCTCTATTCCCCTTAATTGTGGCAGGACAGCTTCTTTGGGTGCATGTAGACATGGCATATCTTTGGCACGTAGAAGAGGGGTCGCATAGCGCTGGATTCTGTTAACATCCACCCTCACGGTTTTGTCCTGGAGAAGTTGGATGGACTCTTTGTCTTGTCTAGACCTTGTCAGTACCTTCTCATTTTGATATGGAAGAATGTCCATTTTCCACAGTTTCTCCACATTCGCATAAAGGTCGTTAGTGGGCCGTAAGCTGGTGAAAAGACATTGCTGTGGGGAAAGTCTGCTGGTTAGTTCTTGTGCTGGTCCCTGTAGTGTCCATCCTAGGCGTGTTCTCACAGCAGCAGGGCCACCAGGTGGACCCAGTCTGACTGGTTCTATGGGTGTGATGAGGTGAGGGCAGTCAGAACCGATGAGAACTACTGGTTTCACTTTGTGAAGGTGCTGTAGTGGCAGGCCTGCAAGATGCTTGTACTTCTTCTGGAGTACCTTGACGGGATGCGTGTGCTCTGCTAAACCCAGGCTGTTGGCTGTGAATGCGCTCCGTATCATGAAAGCCTTACGAGGATTAGCCACTGAAGACACAGTAAAGGTCACAGCCGCCCCGTGAAGGGTCTGTGTATCTTGCCTGACTGTACGGAGAACTAAGTCCTCTGGCTGACCCTTCAGATTCAACTTCTGCACAGCTTCATGTAGGATGATGGTCCGCTCTGACCCATCATCGAGGATTGCATATGCCTCCATTGATTTGTTGCCGTTTCGGAGCAGAACTTTAGCCACCTTCAGCAGAATTTTATTGTCACAGGTTGGACGATCCACATACAAGACTGCACTGGCTGGAACCGATTCTTCTGTGGCTCTGCTCTGGTCATTTACATCATGTAAGGCCAGCAAGTGCTTTCTGTTACAAGATGGACAGAGGGCTTTAAGTGTGCAATTGGCAGCATGATGACCACGCCCACAGCGCCAGCATCTATTTTGGCCTTTAATCCAATTCACCTTCTGCTCTTTGTTGAGTAACTTAAAGTTCTCACAGCTGCTCAGGAAATGTCTGTTGTTGTCGCAGTATGGACAGTAAACATTCACCCCCTCTCTCTTAGCAGCAATTGGTTTGGGTGGATAAACTGGTGATGCTGGGCTGGCCTTTGGTTTCTCTGTACCAAGGAGGATGGTAGTGGGTTTGCGGGGCTGTCTAGAGTCTCTCCTCATCTCCCTCCTCGGCACTGTCGAAACTCTAGACTGACTGGTATAGTCAGTGTGGTCATCCTGAACTTGTAGCTCGTACTCAAGCCAGTCCGCAAAGTCCAATAATGTGGGGATAGTGACATGAAGAGGATGAGTGTACCTCTTGAAACTGGACCTGAGATCATGTGGCAGTTTGCTCATCAGTCTGGACACATGTGATCCACACTCCAACTCGACATTGCCTTTCTGACCCAGCTGTTCCAACATACTGACCAGGGAACGCACTTGGAGTCCGAACATGCGAAACGTTTTCACATCTCCACTTCGAATGTTTGGTCCATCCATCAGTTCTGCAATGCGTTGTAAGGCTAGCTGATGTGGCTGGCCATACATTTTATTGAGGGCTCTCATGGTGTTTGTGAAAGGAAAGTTTGAGTTACTGTATGAGTCTGCCACAAGTAGGGCTTCCTCCAACTTAAGATGGTCAGTGAGGATCTGATATTTGAATCGCTCTGTTGCATCCTCAGGCAAAATGTTCTCCAATGCTATTCTCAGTCGAGAGAACTCCCTAGAATCAGGGGATGTTAGGAAGGGAATGGTTGGAGCAGGGCCTCGGTACATTTTCTCCTGCATTGATGAAGGCTGATAAAACTCTTGTCTGTGGCCTGGATGCGGAGGTGGTATACTGTTATATGCTGTGGTCTTGAACTCTGACTGATAAGCTGGAATGTGTTGGGAGGAACGAGCGTACCTGGGTTGAGGTGGGTCGCTGTAACGCACTTGTGATGGTACTCTATCAGGTATTGAGGAGGAAATGTCCATGTTTCTGAAATCCTCAGCTAATCCAAGGCGCTCATCTATTGTAGCTGGGCACAGCTCCCTAATGGCCGTAGGCGGCGTTGGGGGGGTTTTCCGTGGGGCTGGAGTAGGACGGAACCGTTGTGGAGTCTCAGGGCTCACCACAGGAGGAAAGGGACCTGGAGATAGCACTGGTAAAGTCACTGGCCTGGAGGGGGCTCCCCTTTCTGCCTTAAGACTTTGAAGTTCGTGATGTAACATGGCATTCTGTTGTCGCATCTCCTGTAATGCTGAAATAATCTCCGGAAGCTGGCTGGTTTGTAGCCGCAAGTCAGCGTTCTCGCGTTTCATCACCTTCAGCATGGCTGTAAGCTCTACTTCCTCTTCTCCTCGCCCATCGGATCTTTCACTTTGCCATTCATCTCTCAGTGTCCACTTATCCTGATCTAACTCTTGACTGACGGGAGAAGACGATCGGGTCTGTGCTACCATACTTGGTGACTGGAATCTGCTATGGCTGAAGTCTGGGAATGGCTGTCGATGTGGCAATGGCTCACCAAGCTCATAATCCACTAAATGAGTCGGTGGGTTGATCTGTCTTCGTGGACGCACGACAGGCGCTTCTCTCTCGGGTTGAGACATCTCTGTAGCAATTCACCAATCCGGCTCGAAGGACCATGAAAAATCTTGTGAGTATTCACTCTAATTGCTAGTTCAGGTTTGGCTGAAGGCTGCAGTTTGTCCGGTCAGAACAATGATGTCTCACTCAGGTTATATTCCAAATCGTAGGTTTATTAAATGTGCATAGATGTGTGGTTCTGTGAATACAAAATAAAGATATAAATATATATAAATGTATATAAATCACCAACAACTTATTTGGTAAAATACTGACGAATAGCGGTGAAATATAACACAATACAATCTCTATGATGATATACTTGAAAAAGTGGGAATGGATGTGTGTGCGCTAACGCTGTACACGAGCTGTGCACGAGCTGTGCATGAGCTGTGCATGCGAGCATGGCTACTGCTACATGTGCGGTCGAACCGAGATGTAAACAACTGAGCGCATACGCGCGACCTGAGATACAACCGTGCATTGGTGATAAGGAATAAATATAACTAGAATACGTATAACATCAATATACATGGAATGGCAGTAATGTCACAGCAGTAGAATATAATTAAGTAAACAACCTTAAATGTAAACACAGCTACAGGCGGATTAGCATGCGCTGAGAACGTTCAACAATTATGTGATTACTTACAGTGTGATGCACGCACACGCACAATCGATAAATCTCCTTCGATTTGGGCTAATGCACTCTATTTCACTCTACAAACTATATACAGTATTCAGCCGATCTCCATTTCCCTTTATTATCCGTCTACTCTCTTCCCCTTCACTTCGCGAACTCCGGTGGAAAGTTTGGAACAGTCCATTTCTCGCTGAATGACAGGGGTGACTGGGAGAGTCCATGTGCCCAAGGGGAGCACTTTCTACATTATCTTCTCTGAAAAGCGTTCCGCACATTCAGCTGACATAAACCACACTTTAAATAAACGAAAAAAAAAACCTATCCAGTGATTAAATGTTTTCTGTGTTGACACAAATCTTGTGGGATGTCACGAGACACAAAGTTGAGTAGCTAATTTTAAGTAAGAAAAGTGAAGACTTGTTTTACATTCTGTACTAAATGATGGAAGTCACCCAGGAGTATTGAATAAAGATGGTTACGTTTATTTCAGCTTTGAGTGTTAAATATCAGTTTTTAATGGGAATGTGGATCTTTCAGATCAATTTGAGAAGCTCTTTTGATCATGTTTCACATTTTATTGTGTCATGTAGTGTGGGGCGCTGGTCTTGGTCTTGACTCGGTCTCGCCCTCCCTCGGTCTTGGTCTTGTCTTGGTCTCGGCCCCTAAAAGTCTTGGTCTTGTCTCGGTCTCGATACACTCTGGTCTTGGTCTTGTCTTGGTCTCGGGTTAGGTGGTCTTGACTACAACACTACATGCCTCCTGTAGAAATGTAAACTCACACCACAAATTTGCTCATAATAGTGAGATTTTTCAAATTCTCAGCCTTCCGCGTTAATGCTGGATGAACCTTCTAACTTTAATTAAAGGGGTCATTGGGTGCAAAAAATCACTTTTATATGGTGTTTGCATATAAATGTGGCTTTGCAGTGTGTGGACACAACCACCGTTCACTCGTTTTTTTAATCCTCAAAGAGTCTAAACACTCAATTATCAGGCCGTTTGGATTTTCTGAGCACTATGATATCATAATGCTCATGCTCTGCCCACGACCACTGACGGACTGTCCTGTATTAGCATATTTCTGCCCTCAGCCATTCAACACCCCCCATGGAAGAGAGGGGTGGGGTGAGCAGTTGCTCATTATCATTTAAAGAGACATGCACCGAAACAGGTCTCTGTGAATAAAGCTGTTTTTGAGAAGGTAAAAAGGGCGTTGTTTTACACAACCATTGAGGAATTTTAACCAAAGTATATCACAAACTTTACATGAACACCCTAATGAATCATATCAACTTGTGAAAAAAATGGGCATCCGATGACCCCTTTAAAGCTGTGAACTTCACTGAAGTTAATATAGTTTAATGAAGAGTGTTTTCTCATGGAATACCTTATATCTAATATCTATGCTTGATTGATTGCAGATACAGAATGCCGACGATGTTCTGATCACACCCTTGGAGAGATTCCGGAAGGAGCAGATTGGAGCAGCCAAAGTAAGTCATCCTATATCCCTTTAGACACTAACCAAAAATACCTTGGTATTTGGACCAACATGGCTAAAATATGCAACGGAGTCATGCTTGTATGTGTGTGTGCATTTGTAAACGCATTCGTATTTCGACTGTGGACAAATCTTGTTTGCAATATTCTGCTATAATCTCCCACTGTGTTATTTATGACTTAAATTATTCCTTATAAGGCTTTTTTGCTGTTAGCATGATTTGATGGATATATTATATACCTGAAGATAGTGATATTTTATGAATGTTTAGCCATTACGAGAGTGCCTTCATACCACTAACTAAAAAAAAAAAAATGTAAAAGTGCCAAAGGTATGACCATGTTTGCCCTGCCGTGTATTTTTTAAAATATGTTGGAATACCAAGTAAATACCATAGTATATTATGAATATGGTAATAATTTAGTATCTATGTGTATATCAAACTACTGTGTTATGTATGGTTGAAATTAGCATGATTTGATGGATTCATTAAATATCTGAAGATAGTAATATTTTATTAAAGTTAAGCTATTATACCAACGAAAAAAAGAAGTTGAAAAACGTACCTTAGTTTTACAGTGGACTTTGGCCAGTTTTTTAGAACCGTAGTATTATACGAAATACCTTTGAATAGCATCAAATATAAAAATTGCAATCATTCAGTATAGCCTACTGTATATTGAGAGCCATGATAACACCATCATTATACCATAGTACGGTCAGAGTACCTCCCAAAAGTGGTATGAACAGCTGCTCTTGTTTATCTGTAGCTGTAATTATGATGGTATTATTATTTTAATGAGATTGAAATTGAGGCTCATAGTCCTTTCAATGTGTCGTATTGTGTAGGGCATCAGGTCACTTATTTTTACAAGTTTTTTGGGTCACAATTTTTGATGGTCTACTTCAGACATTCTACTATAAGTAAATTTGCAACCACATGTCAACTAGCAGTCAATAGAGTTTTAGTTGACAGTCTGCTGAATATCTGCTAACACTTTATTGTGATGCTCCCCAACAGACATTCTACTGACAATAAGTAACTTTGCAAGTACATGTCAACTAATTCTACTAACCCAAACCCTAACACAGTCTATTATAGTCGACTAATACTCTAACGACTGGTACTTGACATGTAGTTGCAAAGTTACTTATAGTTAGTAGAATGTCTAAAGTGGACCATTGCAGTCTTTCAAATAGTGGTTAAGCAAGATATTCTGTGCTGCAAAGCATAAATAAACCATCCTTTCCAAAACTTTTTTATTATTATTTTATATATATATATACACACCTGCAGGTTCCCTACAAAAAGTACTGTGACGGTAATGAAATCAGATATAAAAAATACCATGATGCTACTATGTACACTTAGATACTGAATTATTACCATATTCATATAATATGGTATTTACTTGCTATTCTAAGATATTTAAAAGAATACACGGCAGGGCAAACATGGTCATACCATTGGCATTTTTAGGTATACTTTTTAGTTAGTGGTATGAAGGCACTTTCGTAATGGCCAAACATTCATAAAATATTACTACCTTCAGGTATTTAATAGGTTTATCAAATCATGTTAACAGCAAAAACCTTATAAGGAATCATTAAAATCTTAAATAACACAGTAGCAGACTTTGGCCAAACAAACACGTTTCCAAATACAGACATACACATTTGGCTGCATTGCTGTACATTAAAATAAGCAACATCAAAATATCCAGCAGTTTGACCCCGTTGGGCATCTAAAAGATCATACACACATATTCAGTCACACATACAACTACAGTCACTCCTACATAAATATACCTATACTCACTCAAACACACATGCTGAGTGTCTTTTCAAGGCGAGTGTTAGGTTCAGCCATCTGTACATAACCCAAACCCTCTGATTTATGTTCCTACCTCAAAGCCACTTTTGATTTATTTTGCATGAAAAGGGTTTGTGCTTGTGGCTTGCTCTTTGTGGAAGGTTCACTTGCAGGACCTGAGGACCAGTATTCTCTCTGCTTTTGAGCGGATGGGTGGACACAGTGTAACCAGGGACCGATTCTCATAAATCGAGATCAACCGCTGTGGCATTATGTTTGATTTTCAGTAAAATATTTGCAAAACAGTGCATTTAAAGGGGTAGTTTACACCAAAATAACAATTCTCTCATTATTTGCTTTCATTTCCTTTCTTCTGTGGAAAACAGAATGAAACATTTAGCAAAATGATGCCTTTCCAAAAACCAAGCTTGTATAGTTTTTTTATCATTATTATGGTATAGTTTCAGAAGACTAAATAGAATATAGACTTAATATGCACAAGTCGTATGGAGTTTGCTTTGTTGGATGTTTTTCATTTATGCCTTTTTATTGTCCTGATGTATTTCTACTGTTTCTTTTTATTGTTTCTTTTGTTTTTTTATTATGATTGATTGTATCATGCGTTGTAGCCTGTACATCTCAGTCTTTTATTGTAACGACTCTGCAGAAAGAGCACTTATTAAAGTCGGGATGAAACGGAAGTTGCGATAATATTTTCTTCCGTTGTGACGTATATCAATCTTTTCTCATAAATCGTGAAATATCGAATATAATCGTGTTACATGTTATGTGTTTCCTCATATGTGATATTTCTGTGCTATGGAAGAAGGAAATGTGCTATGTGAAGAAGTGCTATGTGAAAATGATTATCCCGTTGGGACAATAAAGACTCTATCTATCTATCTCTATCTATATAAACTCGTAATTGCAAGTTATAAAGTCCAATTCTGAGGGAAAAAATACTTTTTTATTTATTTTTTTTAAAGACAGAATTGTGAGTTTATATCACGCATAGGGTTGGGTATCGGTTGGGTTTTATCCGATACCAGTACCTACTCTGTATTATTTAAATGGTTCCGGTGCTTAAACGGTTCTTGAAACGGTACTTAACACGAAAACGAAAAGTTATCTGACTAGTTACGCAGCGCTTAGCTTGGCAAGTTTGGTATTTCGTTCCCACTGCGTCTTAGCTACGCAGCTTTGAGTAAACTTATGAAAGAGATCGTCTCTGGTTACTGGTGTAACCCATGTTCTCTGAATAGGGAACGAGACGCTGCGTTCACTGCCAAACTCCTCGCGCTGCCGACAAGCTTCCTTTTTCGGCAGAGAAATCTGAGGAGCAGATGATGCGCGCGCTAATATAATACGATGACGTGAGCGTCAAGGCGGCGCCCGCGCCATCAGCCAATGGATTGGAGTGAATCGTGATTCTATATGGGCTTCAGACAATCGTTCTGATGCGTAATTTTACACGTGAAATGCAGCCAAACCTTGGAGCATTTTGTCTTCGGCATCTTCAATAATCCCCTCGCTATCAGCAGACGTTCCGGGAGTCTCCCGCATATTGATAACGGCTCCCTGATGCCCGCAAATTAGTTAAAATCTCCCGGAACGCTTGAGCGAGCGAGCAAAAGCGCGCATGTGAGACAGAACAGACAGTGCTCCAATAAACCGTATAGTGCGTGCACAGCGGAGAGAGAGAGGGAGAGAGCGAGAGACTTTGCGTGTGTGCGCCTGCCAAAGAGACTCAGGCACCGAAATTTTCGTTCTTATTCGGTCTGGTTACTAACGTTTACGTCAGAACCGGTTCCCTATTGGCACCGCGTTTCGGTACCCAACCCTAATCACGCAATATCACGAGAAAAAAACATATATAAACTCGCAATTGACCCTTCGCAGGGAGTTTAATTTGACAGGCGATCTGACCAATCATTATCCGCCATCTTCCGAATCCTCCATTTTTGTCCGACAAAGCAGTCAGGAGAGTTAGTAGATTAACGTTGGAGGATTTTTTACTTGAAAAACGGAGTGTACTGATGCCTTTCCGCGGTTAAGGGAGAAGTCACACGCTTCGAAATATATATCTTTGGCTGAAACAGACTTCCATATATTCTTGTAAAATGGCTTTATCAGGAATTGATTGGATGGTTGTGGTTTGCTATTGGTCGAGCTCATGTGAGTGACAGGTTGTCCCGCCCTCGTGCCAGTAAACACATCATCACAGAAGAGAAGGGATGTCTCTGTAAGAAAGAGGGGAAGTTATTTTGATTAAAGATTACAGGTGAATTAAATAATAATAATAATGATGATGATGTGCACAGATAATTAATTTATAATAAATACTGCAATATTCCATAAAAACAAGATTGCATGGTGACTTTAAAAATCATCACCCTTCTTTCACCCCTAATCTCCTTTTTAACCACTTGCTTATAATAGCTTATCCCTTTTTCCTCTACTATAAACACACTCTAAATATGGAGAATGGATTGAACACTAGCCATGGAGTCAGGAGACTTACTAAAGGATTATGGGAATGTGGGGAATCGGCCGGCTGCCAGACCTCCCCCTCACTCAAATTTAGTGTTCAGAGGGTTGCTGGGAGGTATAGACGTCCTTATTAGGGAATTACAGCCTCGCTGCAGCTCCAGCTGGTTAACGGAGTGAGGTCAGTGGCCGATGAAAGGGCCGCTCAAGCCCAAGCCCGAATAATTTATTTCCTGTTGGCCAAGCAACCCTACCCGCCACCTCACAGGTACAAGGCTTTTACTACTAGAGAGCACTTACGTATGGGTCATCAGAGCTCAGAATCACAAGCTGTGCAACTTTAAAGGAACACAAGGATTTTTAAAGAATCGGACTCTTCTTCATGGAGATACAATTAATAAATCTTTTTTTTTAATCAAGTAAAAACTTACAGTATTGGTATTTAGTGTTGTTTTTCACATTTGTCCTGGAGATTGATTTTATTTTTATTAATGATTTGGAATTAATTCACTTTTGCCTTTTGCCTCTGCAAATGTCACTGGCACAAATCTACCCCAGAACAGAAGTTAATGATCTCAACTAATGGCGTGTGTAATTCTATGTGAGACACTTCTCATAAAACTGCCCCCAGTAGGTCATCAAATCAGCATATCAGATCCAAAACTTATAAATAAATAAAGCTACACCCTCAA